TACCCTTTATGTCTTTGCCTCACCCAAGCGAGGGTTAGAGGCATGCCCTTCCCCTCTACAATGCTCCCCGTGTCCTTTAGTTGCAGGTTTACCCCCCATCCCCCTAATCCCTGGAGAGTATTACTGCTATGTGAGCACCCCAGTGTTCATCAGTTAGTACCAATTTGATGGCGAGTACAAGTGGAGCCCATTCTTCCTATCTTCTGGTGCCTTACTTTGGATAATGGGCTTAAGTTTTGAACTGCTTGCTGATGGCACATTTGCCTGTCCCCCATCCCATCTAGTTTCTGTGAGCAATGTTCAGGGCCTCCATTGTATCTCCAGCATGCCCAGTGGACAAACCAGATCTCCAGAGACACAACTGCACCCTCGTTCACTGACTTTGCTCATCAGTTCCACATTCACATTTGTTGTCTGGCTGTTGCATTACTTTGAGCAACAGGGTTTATGAGAAAATGCTTCAAATTTGGATGACTATGTAACATAGAGGTTAAATATACAGACTCTGGAGCTTAACTGCCTAGGTTCAAATCTCACCTCTGCTACTTGGAAGTTGGGTAAAATTGGAAAAGTTATGGGGTCTCTCTATCTCCTGATAAAAGGGGGTGATATAGTACCTACCTCCTTGTGTGTTATCATGAGGAGGAAAAGCGAGAGCCTGTCAAAAGACTTGAACAGCCACTTCATGATGAAGATATACAGATGGCAAATACTCCTGTGAAAAGATCCTCAACATCACTAGTTTTAGGAAAATGGAAATTAAACCACAATGAGATACCACTGTGTACCTATTATAACTTAAAAAGTTAAACATACATCTATTTCACTCCTAGGTATTTATCAAAGAGGAAAAAATACATGTCCATACAAAGGGCTTGCACATGATTATCCAGGAAAGTTTTATGTGTAATAGCCAAAAACCAGAAACAATCCAAAAGTCTGTCAGTGAAACACTACTCAGTAATAAAAAGATGAACCATTACTATGACAACAGATAAATCTCAAAATAATTATGCTGCATGAAAGAATAAAGAGAAAAGGACCACATACTGTATAATACTGTATATTATAATGTACATTTTTATATATTACAGAAAATACAAACTAATCTACAGTGACAGAAAACAGATCAGTAGTTTCTTGGGAATGGGGGGAAGGAGGGGTGAGAAGAAGGGGTTACAAAGGGGCATAGGAGACTTTAGAGGTATGGATGTGTTCATTATCTTGATTGTGATGATGCTTTCATGGGTACACACATGTCAAAATGTATTGAACTGCACACTTTAAACAGATGTGACTTATTATATGTCACTTATACTTCAATAATGCTGTTTTTTTATATGAGTACCTGTGACATAACAGGCCCTTCCAAAAGTGTTAGCTGTTATCAACTTTATTGTTATACAGAAATATATTTTATATGATGTTTGTATAATAAAAGAGCATCTCATCAGAAGCAGTGTTCAATAATTGATTCTATCACCATCACACTATAACCTAGCTGCATTTTTCCTTTCTTTCTAGGGATGCTCATGAATAAACACAAATTAAGGAAAGTAGCCCAGGCTTTGAGGTCAGAAGGCGTGAGTTCAAGTGCCCACACTGACATGGAGTTCCTTGTGTTGATATCTGACGTTGAATTTTCTTGTTTGTAAAACAGTATGAAGCTACACCTCATGATTGCTATAAGAATCAAATTTTCAAAATGGATGTGTGTTCTGTAAACTACAAAGCAATGTGAATATAGCAGTCATTATGAGTAGGGAAGAGACAAGATAGGCATTCGCATTTTTACAGACAGGGTAACAAAGGGCAGGCAAGATTAAAATAAACCTTGATCTCACACGAGAGCAAGGAACAGACCCCACATTCCCTCATTTCCCCCAGACTGATATTCCCACATCAGAATTCTCTAGAATCGTTTTAAAAATCCATATTTCTGCGTCCTGCCCTACACTTACTAAACAGAATCACCTGGAGTAGGGAAAAGGAATCTGAGGTTTAAAGAAAGCTCCCCAGTTGATTCTGAAACAGCCAGTAGCACCAATAGGTGGATGATCTTTTGGAAACAACCACCTTGCTCTTGATGCCTTTCAATGAGAAACATGAGCTGGATCCTAGGTCCCATTGTTCAAGTGAATCCTAAATTTAGCCTCCAGAAAAGGTAATGCATCTCCCAGGATAACTGCAAATGCAGAATGTTTCGAAACATCTTTCAAACACTTATTATAGCAAGCACTTCCCTTATCATCATTTTCTTTCTTTTCTTGAGCACTTATACCTTTTACATTCTTACTGGCCCTCAGGTTATACTCGGAAATTATGTATCTTGCTAATGCAAATGTTACTTAATGCTTTCCATCTTGTCATTTCCCCCCAAAACCAAGTTACTTGGGGTTGCATGGTGGCAGCTTACCTTGGATAGTGTGTCCGAGGTGTGTGGCTTGATGCCAACATGAACTTTATATCTATGTGGGAACACCATTTGGAAATCAAAAAGTAAGAAGAAAAGTACCAGGATTGGTGTACATCACTCATTTGTGCCCTTTGAGGTGGTTAAAGCAGAATAACAAAGACTAGAGTTTCCATTTCCTATCTTGTGTCATCTAAACCTGCTCAGGACTCTTTTCTTCCTTCCATAAGCACAGAAGACATTTTTCTGTGTCTTGGGGATGTCAGATCCACCTATAATGTACTTCTTGGGGGTTATTCTGAAATCCTCTATCAAAAGACACTACATAAATATAATTAAATCTTTTATCATTTGGCTCATTCTTCCATGAATTTGGACCAGATGTAAAAATGCCTCTCGGGGGCAGGCAGAGTTGAGGGAGAAGGGCCCGGAAGGGACTGTGAGAACTGGAGCGTGAATGCCCTGTCCAAATGGGACAGTCTCCAATTGTTACCATGTAAGAATGTGGTCTAATTTCTTCTGAAGGGAAGGCAATAGAAATAGCTTCCTTTTTATGCTGGCAAATTAAGGGGAAAATACTTTGAGTGGGGCAAATGAAATATCTCCAAGTCAGCTTACACTTGCAGACTCCCAGCTTGTACTCTCTAATTTATATTATTTTTCAAAACTACGATCTCTGCACAACTGAAAAAATTTATGCCAATGCAGTGCATTTTTATACTTATACAATCATCCAGTGGCATAATCAGTCCTGTTATCCCACCCCATGAACATTATATTAATATAACAATATAAAATTCACTGCAAATAGAAGCTAGGTCTTCATGGGAAGCCAGAATAGTCAAATAACCATGAGTCTGAACAATAACTTGTAAAATCCTAATCAACAATGGGCTAGAGTCTGGTTTCCTGTCTTCCTATCTGTTGAACAAGGACGTAACAAGAACTATATTCTCCTTCTCCTTGCAATCTGGATTGTACATCCAATGAAGAATGGCAGGTAGTGTTCCTTAAAGGACAACCTCTCTTACACGTGTCTCCACACAGCAAGGGCTAGAGCCAGGGATAAGTCACTGAACTTAGAGTGTCAGGGGAGCATGGAGCAAGCATCAAATTTTCTTTGCTGGGTGATACGGGCATGCATAATACAGTTAAGAACAGCCTTCCCTGTATTTTATTAAGAAGCTATTTTCTTTTATGTATATGAAAGTGACAGAAATGGTTCTCACAGTTTGTGCTAACAAATGACACTTAGGAAGTAGCCAATAAACCATGTTTCTATTTGAAAGTGGACAGTACATGTAGGCTCCAGTTGATTTGTAAGGAATGAAGAATGCGTATCTCTAGTTGAGAGATGCGGTAGAATCTTGGGTTATCTATAACTTAGTCCTTTAAGGCTTCCCAAAATACAAATGGTTTTGCGTATTTTTACCTGTGACAAATATAGAGGAAAAGAACATTAGTGGTAAGGATCCCAGCAGAAAACAGATGGCATACCCAGAGAGCTTAACCTAAAGGGCTAATCTCTTTAGAGAGAAATGCTTTATAGGGACACAGGCAGGGTTAAGCAAGCCAGCAAAGGAAGGTGAGGCATCTGAGAGACATCAGGGAAGCAGCTGCAGAAAGCCACTACCACCCCGCACTCTGAAGGTTCAAGAGAGAGAGAGAGAGAGAGGGACTGTGTTACCTAATCCTAGCAAAAGCTCCCTCTGTGGAAAGGAGTCTGCTAGCAGAATCTGTGCATGCGGAGACATGCCTGCACCTCTCTGTTCTCCCACTCTCTGATCTCCTGCCAGCTCCTCTCTGGCTGACTCCAGCCAGAGCCCAGAAGGCAGGGGAGCCCCAGAAATTGAATTCATAGAGGTCAGCCTCCTGGGTCACAGAGTAGGGCAGAAAGTGGCAGATATGGATCTGGGAGAGGGGGACAAATGGAGAGTTATTGTCACAGAAGGCAAAGGGAATCACAGCTTCGTTTTAGAGCAGGACAGACTTTTCATCCTCTAATCCTCTACTTCTCATTTTGTTAATGAAGATACTGAGACTTAGGGAATTGAGATGAACAGGTGAACATTATATACCTAATAAGGGACATACTTGAGACTAAAGGCTGTTATCTTCTTATGTATTCTCATGGACTTTCTACGTCATTATGCTGGGAATCATGAGTTAGGAAATTCATATTAGAGTTGGCTAAAATGAGACACTGATGCTGCCATTTTCCCGTCACTATGCCCGTCAGACATCACTAACTGATTACAGATTTCTTGCCTTCTGAGCCCAGATGTGCCCTCAGGCTCCAGGCTGCCACTATGATTGAGTCATCTTGCTCTATCATCTAATAATACAACATACTCTCAATCTTCAAATAAAAATTTCAAATTATTATATCTAATAAGATTTTCCTCCTTGAAACTTGGCTCGTCCTCAGAAGGTGCCACTTGTAGACTTTTGAACTTCCTACCCTGGTGACTTGATGGGGGGCATTTATGGTTGGGAAAAATGGAAGCACCATGAGATTAATTTGCTAGAAAGATGATAATAAAATGTCCTAATACCTGATAGGTTTTCTCTTTCTCTCTCCTTGCAGGTTGACAGGACAGAGGTGATTCGCACCTGCATAAACCCAGTGTACTCAAAACTGTTTACAGTGGACTTTTACTTTGAAGAGGTGCAGCGCCTGCGATTTGAAGTCCACGACATCAGCAGCAACCACAATGGGCTGAAAGAGGCTGACTTCCTGGGTGGCATGGAGTGCACACTTGGCCAGGTGGGTCAACAGACATCCCTTCCTCCTCCTTGCTGCTTTAGGATCTTTCTCTCTCCCCTTTTTCCTTTTCTTCCCTCATTTAATTCTTGCTTTCTTTTGCCTATTGATTTTATTTTCTTTAACATGTAGCATGTTACAACTTCCCAGGCACTGTCATATCCATTACATTTATATTGAGATGATCTTACAAATCTGTAACGTTATTTATTTTGCAAAAGTAATGATTTTCTCTTCTGAATGCCCTTATTGTGTTAGCCACTTATTCAACAACTATTTACTGAGCACTTACTATGTAAGCATCTGGCTCCATGCTCTGCTTGTGTGTCTGTTATGGCCTTATCCTGTCCCATTATAAATTTCCATCTGCCAACTCAACCTTGAGAGCCTCCACTCAGAGTATTTCTCATTCACATTTATTCCAAGTCTCTGGTGCCAAAAATATCCCAAGGTAGGGGCTAAATAGATACTTGGTGAGTGAATAAATGCTTTTAGTTAATCCTTACAACAATAATGTGCCATAAATATCACTATCATATCCATTTTATCAGTGGGAAAACTGAGACTCAGATTGAGAGACTTGCTGAAAGTCCCACCCTGACAGATGGCAGAGCTAGGACATTACCAGGCCTGCCTGTCTCCAAACCCCATCGTTTTGCTTCTATGAGAGCTTTCCTTTTTCCTGTCCCTTCCTATTGTACTCAGAACTGTGCTAAGTGTTGAGAGAAATCTAAAAGAAGAAACAATCCTGGGCCAAGAAAGTGAACAATCTTACTGGACAAGGCATTATCTATGCACCTCAAGCAGAGCAATTCATTACAAACTATCCAGGGCTCTACACATGGGGTAGTGGGCCTTTGGGGAAGGGATGACTTTTCTGCTGTGTAGAGTCAAAGAAAAGCATTGTGGAATCAAAGTTTGAAAAGCTATAGTCCTAGGATTGAAGAAGAAAAAGGGGGCCTTTCAAATAAGAAAGCAATATAAACAAGTCATAGAAGTCACAACAAATCTGGCAGGGATATGGGGCAAGAAGAGACCAGTTTCTCTGGTGCTGATTTACTGTGGAACCAATGAAGCTTAAACTTCAGATCTCTTGTCTCATGTGGGCCCCTTCCAAGGCTCTGTGTTGCATTTTTATTTGTAGTTTTGTACTTTTTTCTCAAAGAGAGATTCCAAATTATATAAGCCTCAAGCCCTACGAAACCTGGATTCATCCCCTGTCAAGATAAGCATCAGGTTTAGCAATTTGTGAGAAAGAATCTGCCTGACAAAGAGATGGAAAGCATACTTGTTTGCTTGTTTGTTTATATTTACCTTGCTTCATGCCATTTATCACTAAAAGAAATTTCTTTCATTTATTTATTTTTTATTTCAGAATATTATGGGGGAGCAAATGTTTAGGTTACATACATTGCCTTTGCCATGCCCATCCCTCAGATAGTGAGTACTGCACCCATTAGGTGTGAATATACCCATTCCATTCTTCCCCCTCCCACCTGCCCGACACCCAATAAATGTCACTTCCATGTGTGCACACAAGTGTTTATCAATTAGTACCAATTTGGTGGTGAGTACACGTGGTGCTTGTTTTTCCATTCTTGTGATACTTCACTTAGTAGAATGGGCTCCAGCTCTATCCAAGATAATATAAGAGGTGTTAGTTCACCATTGTTTTTTGTGGCTAAGTGGTACTCCATGGTATACATATACCACATTTTATTAATCCACTCATGTATTGATGGCCTCTTGGGTTGTTTCCATGTATTCTGAAATAAAAAATTAATTAATTTAAAAAATAAAGAAATTTTTCCCCATAAGCACCAAGTGACAAAATTGACAATATCTTCAGTTACCCTTTTCCAGCAAATATGGTGATTGATTTCATAACATTGCTCTGTTATTTTAATGAAAACCAAAAGCCCAGTGTGGAAATACAATAGAGGAAGGGCAGAGAGAGAACCTGGAATATTCTCCATTAACATATTCTCTCTAATGACTTCTGAAAAAAATTGATGGCAGATGGTTCTAAAATCTTGTGAGATACAATGGTATTAAGTGAATAAAAGAATGAATAAATTGTGGACTTGAGATGGAATCCTGTTTCTATTAAAAATGTTTAAAATGGCATCTTTTGTAGATATAAATGGGCCACACCAAGATTCTCCCTTAAACAATGGGCATCCTTCCTATGTATAAATGTTATATTTTGTCATAAGAAATAAATGTATATCCCTACAGGAGTCATATGGATAAAAGGCCTTTTTCATCCAAAGCTCTGATGATTATGTCTGTGTGAATGACCCTCAAACTTACGTCTTTAGTCTTTCACAAGGCTCATCTTTCCAAAGCCAGCTAGTCCTCCATCCTCTACTCTGTGCCAGGCATTGTGGTAGGCACCAGCAATACTGTGGCAGGCCAAGAACATCATCTCTGACCTCAACCTGCTCCCAGTCTAGTTGGGGATAGAGATGGAAAGCAAATAATTACACAAACAAGTAACTAAATGACAACTGTTATAAGCATTGTTAGAAGAAGTACAGAAGAAGAAAGCAAGCATTGGAGAAGGGCGTCAGGTGGAGAGGGATCAAAGAAAGTGCTCCAAGAGAAGTGACATTTGCACTGAAGCTTGAAGGGAAAGTGAGATTGCGTCAAGTGAGAAGGAAGAGGAAACACATTCTAAGCAGATGGGAACATTATTCACAAAGCCTCTGGATTCAGGAAGGAGTTTGGCATATGGTGCAGAACATCTTCATTTCGTTTTCCCAGGAAGCCAACTCTGAGACAGGAAGTCAAAGGAGGTAAAGAAAACATGATAGTGGAGTGGAAAAGTGAGACAGGATAAGGAGGGCAGTCTGTAAGGCAGTGTGGTCAAGCCAGTTACCACTATGGGCAACTGGAGCATCATTCTGCTGGGGACACTCTGGAAGCTAGTGTAGAACAAACATCACAGAGTTATCTCACTCTAGAGATGGGGGAACTGGGACATTTATACACTTGGGGTATATTTACTCTCATCAGGAATTAAGGGCCATTCCTAGGGTGGGAACATTAATCCTCTAGCATTTCCCTCCTACTGTGTAGGTAGCAAAGCAGGTCCCAAAGATCAGAAAAAGCTTGTAAGCAAAGATATCTCTGGATATCTAGCATCCTCTCGTATTGCTGGCCATGTGATGGGTAGGATAGGTCTTTCCCACACTTTTGGGATGGCCAATAGTTGGCTTAAATCAATCAGAATATCCAATTTTTATGGCCACGGTGATTGGTTTGGGGAAGGACATATGACTTTTTTTTATTAACATACTAAGTTTCATTCATTCATTTATTCATTCTTTCAAACAAGCGTTTAACAAGTTCCATGGACATGCTAAGAACTGTGTTAGATGCTAGAGACACAAAGATGAAAAAGACAGAGGCCCTGTCCCAGAGAAGCTTACAATCAGCTGGGAGACACAGACAAGTAAATAAATAATCAAAATGCATATTACTAAGCAATACAATAGAATGTGTTCAGGAGCTACAGGGAAAAGACTTAACTCTGCCTAGAGAGAATCAGGGAAGTCTCGCAAGAAACATGACTCCAAACCTGTGTCTCAAAGGACGAGTAGGAATTCTCCACCAGAGAAAAGAAATAAGGACTCTCTTGGCAAAATGACCAGTACACACACCCGCAGCAGCATGAGGGGTGATGACAGAGAACTCTTAAGTGACTCAGCATGACTGGGTGGTCAAGTGAGGGTGGCGAGAAGATAGAGGATGCTAGACAGGAACAGAGGAATCTGACCATGAGGGTTTTAGTGCTTTTCTCTAAACTTCAGAGAGCTTGGAGTTGACGCACTGAGGCCCTGGGAACCAAGAGAAAAATGGGATTGGATGCGTGTATTTAGAAAGATCACTTTGACATTCCCACGAAGGGTGGGAGGCAGGGAAAACAGGAAACTAGTGCAATAACAGGAAAGAAGTGGGGATGGCAGTGGTTGCGGAAGCTGAGAGGAGGGGACCAGAAGACAGTCTGTCCAAAAGCAGGATCAACAAGCCATGAGACTGGGTGAGGGAGGAGGGGTCTGCAGGTGTCTGGCTTAGGTATGAATAGCTGGAGAAGTCATTTGACTGTCTCTGAGGGGAATCAGTCCCATTGAGGAGTGGGGAGAGGAACAGAAGTGACGCTGGCCTGGTAAGATCAGATGTCTGTGGAAAATATAGAGGAGGTCATCAGTTGGCAGCTGACCACATGGATCTGGAATAGACACAGATTTGGGAGCTGACTCCCTGTGGTTGATAGCTAATAACATAAAAGTGGATGGAATCTCTCAAAGAGACTGTTTTATTTTTTGAAGGAAATTCATTGACCATGCCATATGTGAACAAATCATAAAGGACTTCTAAAAAAAATCCTTGATTGTGTAAGAATGTCTCTCTCCACTTTCTTTCAGATAAAAGTGTAAACTTGATATTGTCTTAAAATCAAAACCTTTGTTGAGTGTCTTCTACATGTAGAGTAACATACCAGACACATGCATTTGTACTGAGAGCTTTGTGAAGAGGCAGAGCAGAACTCCTTTACCTTCATAGTTTCACAGGTTGTGACACTTTGGTGTGATGGGAGTTTTGCTCTTTCTCTCGAAATTGCTCTTCTCTCTAGTGATTACGCCAAAAGAAAAACCATCGACATTTTCCTCCTTCCTAACTCCAGTAGTAGAGAAGATTCCTTCTCCTGTGTACTGCTTTGGTGTGCAGGGAATGGCTAGACACAGGAGAGGCTGAGCAGCCCGGGGAATCGCAGGGTTGGGTCTGAGGCGCTGTTCCGTAACACTCAAGTGTACACGCCATGGACCCTGGCGGTCTGGGGTCAAATCCCAGCTCAGCTGCTCTCAAGTCATCTGTCCAGAGGCAAATTCCTGTAGCCATCTAAGCCTCGGTTTCTTCATTTGCAAAATGGGGATAATAATAGTGCATATAAAGTGCCCAGCAGTGTCCCTGGCATGGACGGAGCACTCGGGATGGGG